AGTAAAGAGAGCCTGGCATCTAGAAGTTGAAGGTAGAAGAGTAAGGGGGCGGCCAAAGGTGACGTAGAAAGATATGGTGAAGAAAGAAAGTGCAAAAATTGGTTTGGAGGAGTATGATGCACAAGACAGGAAGAAGTGGAAAGATAGTGTAGCTGCATGGAACGAGTGACAGTCAGTAACCCCTTGGAAGAGGGAAGAAAACTGACTTAAATAAATGATGATGATGATGAAGGTGCCGCTCGGGTTCATTTGTTTCCTGTAGTTTCTGCACTTAGTCCAATGGTGTCAATTTTTACCAGGAGGGCGGGTGTTCCATCAATTTTAATGCAAATACGCAGAACATCTCATTCTTCTGCTATTTAAGTTCTTTGATAAAACTCATTTATAGAATTCCACAAGTAAGAATTTGATATTAAATATTCTTTATTAAATCTAAGAAGATTTAGTATATACATATTTACATATAAAGTACAATATACTAATATATTTAGAATTAATATTTTCGTGGTACAGGTATTAAAAATATTAATAAAAATAGTGCACCAATATCCATTCTTAAAGATACATTCACATACTGCGGTAAAGAACCTAGAGAGCATCTTACTAAAACAGTACTGAATTACAATCCGCCATGGGTAGAGGGCGCTATTGTGAAATGAAATAATTACAGTAACTCCATGAAGCTCATGCTGTTTCATCCACTGACATCAAGGAAGCGTAGTCCCTGTACAAGATGACACCTTTATCAGGATCAACTGCTGCTGATAACATCTCTTCCAATTCTTCTTGTGTAAAGGGCTCTCCTAAAATAGAAATAAAAAGAAAATCTTATTTGTACATACAGAAGTACTACAAAGACCAAAATAAATTGGTTTTACCCCCAAATATATCTACTACAGTAAATTTTAATACGAGAATAGTATAATATGTGCTTTGCTCAAAGAAAGCAAATGCACAGTAAGAGGTTCAATAACTCAACCTCAAGGGTGAGAGCCCAATTCCCAACCGCTGTGCCAAGAGCTCCCTCTAACATACTTACCCTCTTCAGTCATATACTTTGTAATGTCCTCTGCAGTGAGATGCCCTTTCCGATCACTATCCAAAACCTCAAATGCCTTCAACAGTTTGTCTTCAGGAGCAGGTTTATACCTACAGTATTTTATAAAGCAATAATTATTGGTAAGATTATATCTAATTAAAAGCATTTCCTGCCTTTCTGTTTTCTATAGATCTATTTGTAATAAGTTTCTACAAACTCCAGTGGCGTATCTAAGGGGTGAATTTTCCCAACCACCCCTCCCC